AAATTCGAACAAAACATTCGAAATAGAAAGCCACTTTCAACCACTTTCAGCCTCATATCTCCCGCACCCTTAGAGCTATCGAGACGCAACCACCCCTATGCACGAATGGAGACTTGGGGCTACCACCATATACAAACACCATTCACGTGCGATGTGTAGTTTTGGCGAAAAAGTGAAATATAGGGACATACATGTCCATTTTTATATAGATATATAGATATATATATAGATATATATATAGATATATATAAATTTGTGAACAAAACTCGTTTTACTTCGAACATGAAAGTGTCGACTTCTTCTCTGATATCCTCTTTGTTGAGACTTTTATCCGTTAAATGATGATAAAGTAGTAAATCCAGAAATGCTCGCTTTTTCTTCACCCCTATAACTTCTTTCACTTCTCGAAAGTTGTCGATTGTTTGATTGTCTTTCAGTTCTTCGGTCAGTTTCTGTTTCTGTTCTCTGATTACCTAAATTGTTTCCATTCTTAATTACGTTAATGGCTTAACAATAAAAACAAATAAACTTGCCTTTCTGTCGAATCCGTGAACGGTGGTAAAGGTCTTTGTGAAATTTTCTTCCTAACTGACTGAAGTTGAAAATGGGACTGAACCAATACTAAGGCTTTGTGACCCATTCAGCGAGTGCAGATGTTATTCTGAATTACGAAACGAAATGTGATGTATAAAGGTTTTAAGTACAGTAGAGCGTCATTTAACCGAATCAATTGAGGGACTAGGATTGTTCGCATAACTTATTTTTCGGATAACCGATTATATGCGAAAAAATATATTAATCTATCCCATGTTGAAATTTTTTCCGTTGCGTGTTGCTTCGCGTTGAATTTTCGTCGATGTTAAGCCTAATGTAAACGTTTAAAATAATAATCGTAGCTATTGTATCGTTAAAAATTATTTATTTATTTTTTACTAACAAAATAGATATACTGAAAAACATAAAAACAAAAGTAATTTATACTTTAGAAGTTATCTAGTATCGAAAAGGTTGGATTCAGCGGGACACACTGTTCTCAGAAAAATACCACACAAAAGTGCAAGTGCTGCCAGCTAAAACACACACATCAACGAAAGAAATATTGGAGTAGCCTAAGATATTGTCAAAGATTGCAGCGCAACAGCACTAGCGAAAATTTAAATCCGACGACTGGAATTTTTTCGGATAACCGGCTTTCGGTTAAACGACACTCTACTGTAATTGAAATATTTTTCAAACGTTAAGAAATATTTTAGAATTACATGAAGCATATTTAAAATATAAGATAAAGAGATTTTTAAAAAATTGAACATGGTTCTGTTGTTTATTGTTACAGTTTTCATTTGTAAAGCTATATCTTAACGAAAGTTGTGATAATGCCATTGTTTCAAGGGTCAAGCAGGGCCACCGAGAGGGAAGCAGAGCTTGGAATGTTAATCCTACATGGAGAAAAAATTACGATAGTTGTTCTAATACTTATTAAACTAATCTTTAAAACTACTTTTTACTAATAAATAAACGTTTTACGTAATTTATTTTTACAAAAAAAAGATGAGACAGTTAATCGGTATAGACTTAATTAAGGTATTTCATATATACTGTTTATCGCCCTGTAGCCAAAACTGCAAAATTGCCCGCCTTCTCTGATTGTCAGGAATTTTTTATACTTTAGCAAGGAGGTTAAGACCTGTCATCCATTGTCATCTACTGTAATTACGATTACTCGTAATATTATAACTGAGATCATCGTACAATAGTCGAAAGAGTTAGAGAGCAACGAAAATATTAACTACGAAGAATTAAAGAAACAAGTTTACAATAGATCTAAATAGAAATGTTTTATTTAGATTTGTTATTAACCATTTTTTAAACTTACTCATTAATGGCAATGATATAATCAGTATCAGATTTTTTGAGCGTTAATATGCATTCCCATGGCTTAATCTGTAAATAATAATAAAAATAATATATTTATAAAATAATATACTTAATTTACACCTTTCTTACTAAGATTACCATCATTCAGAGTAGCAAAATTCGAAAATAAAGTGAATAAAGACCAATTTCAGAAAGTCCTGAGCCAAAAAAAGTTGAAAAATAAACATGAAAATATATTTTTTTTCAATGATGATTACAAAGACAATTATAGCATCCCAATAGACGAGAAAGGTAAAGCGTCAAACTGTTAGTGTGAGGAACACCAGAAAAAAAATGTTTCATGGGTTTCATTTAAGAATGTCGGGGCTTCGTATCTCATTATCCTGCTCCCTCCTATCGTGGGGCTGGCCGAACTCCTAATGGGTATGATCAAAGCATGTCCTCTTATTGAATGACCACAGAATGGAGACAAAAATGAAAGAGAAACTCGTAATGTAGACAAAAAAGGGGTTTACAATGAAAGGTACCAAATTTTCATAAGCATACAAACAAAAGTTCAAAATAAACATTCTTACCTCGTAGTTTCTTCCGTTTTCTGGACATTTTCTTTAAGTAACTGAAATTCCTGACAGTTATCAACTTTATTTCCTACTAGTAAACACTGTAAAATTCTTACCTCCAATAACATTCAGAGTGCAAACCGTAATCAATTTATCCATAAGAAATTCTTCGTTTTCCTTTTTCTTCTTCAACTTTTCAATTAAGATGTTTGACTGCTCGTTGAAAATTCCTTTAAAATCTTCGAGAATTCGAAAATGAAATGTTGGAGTTAATAATTTCCTACAATTTCTCCACTTTTCGTTCGAACTGTTTCTATTGCAAACAAATAAATCAATACTTTAATTAGTGTGACATATTCAATCATCGTTTAGCTTGTTAAAAGACTCGTCCATGGATGAAGAATATTATAAAGACAATTTTTGTTGATTACGGTGTAACTCTTCAGTACTTCCTGTGTTAAATAATCAATTATTAACCTTAAAAACAAGCAAACAATATGTGTTAAAGCAATTATACCTGAGCCACTTCGGGATGAGGTAATGCAATGTAATGATAGCCACCCCAGGAAATTTTGAATAATATCTCTTTCAACTTTGCAATAGATGTACCATTAGTTATTTGTATAACACCTAGAAAATTTCTTTAATAAATAATACATTTACCTTTACTGGTGGTTATTCGTCAAGAAATTTTGTAAATAATAATAATAAGTTTATATCAGAAGATTTAAATGAACATACTCAAATTACACTTACAAGTGCCACAAAGTTTTCGAAAATCTTGAGTTTTTACTGGACAGAAAATCAGATTCCAAATATAGCCCCAACTGAAGCATTGTGGTATTTTGTCTCCCTGTTTATTTCTGCTCTTTTTCTTCCATATATAGAGAATTGAAAGGAGTATTACAAATCCAATAACTAATTTCCATTCGTACACGATTTCCATTTCTAGAGAACCATTTACACCCGCTTATGTTTTCGATAGAAAATTTACATTAAATTATTTATCTGATTATCACAATAATCACTTATATCGAAAAACGTTTAGAAGATAACGCGACTTCTATTCACATTTCAAGGTTGTAAACAATAACTTTGTTTACAAT